CCTGAACCCCAGCCTGGCTTGAACTTCTGGCAACCTCCAGTTGTGCTCAGCGGAAGCCTGGATCCCATTATGGGCTCACCTGGGCTCAGTTTTGAGCAAGCACAGGCTGCTCCTTGAGCAAGTGTTTTGGTTGGTGGTTGGAGGGGAGCACATAGGGTTTACAGCATGGTTCCCATCCCTGCATGATGCTGTTGTCCGAGATGGGGCTGAGCTTTGCTCAACAGTGTTTGAGCCCAGGATCTCCCCCTGCCCACATGGGGCTCTGCCAGCTGAGCCAGGCTCCCTGTCCTTTTGGCAATCCTGTATTTCATGCCTGCTTATAACTCAGGAGCAGGCAGGGGCTGGGGCATGCAGAGCATCCCTATGGGCTACTCAGGTGCCTGTAGTGCAGTCAAGCAGCTCCATACCCTGAGTGGGATGCTGCTTTTCCCCAGAAATACATCAAAGGGTGGATGGAGAACAGAAACCAGGGTTCAATGTCAGCTTTTCCCACCCTTTGCCCTAATTTCCCAGATAACTTCTTTACCACTTAAAAAGGCTAAATGTTATTTACAAGGGACTCAGAAGCTAGGAAACCCCACTGTGGGATGTGAGAGCTAGCCTGACCCACAAGGTGGGTTGTTCTGCACCGGGGCTCACTCCAGATCCCTTTCCTTTTACCCATGTGAGAAGTCAAATGACTCAGTGTGTTGTTGCTGCAGCCACTGTGGGTGAGCTGCTGTGCAGCCGTCCCTCTTCTCTGAAGCCTCTTCCCTGGGCTCCCGCAGCATCAGCCATGGGGAGCAGCATCCCATCAGCCAGGAGAGCCAGCCCTAAGCATTTCCTGCTGAGGCAGCGCATTCCCAGCGGGAGGAAAGGTCACGGTGCTGGGGCTGCCCTGGTTTCCTCTCCGGACTCCCGGGCACGGCTGTCAGCAGCCGCGGTTTCCTCCGGTTCCTGCCTATCCCTGCAAGGTGCAACCCAAACCTGCCGTCAGCAGCGCCCCCCGGCCCGGAGCTGCCCTCCCGCCCGTAGAGCGGTGTCTGTTTGTTCAGCTCGGGGGTGTCTCAGTTTGTTTGCTTGGCAGATGCCAGGTCGGGTGCAGCTGGACAGGGTGAGCAGGGCCGGACGCGGGTGGCTTCCCCAGTGACACATAGCCCAGCGGTGACTGAGACAAGTCACTTCCCTTTTCCCTCCACTGTCCTTAGCGAAGCACCACAACAACCATCTTCATCTGCCTTCAGCCCCCAGGGTGAGGGGAGCAGGGCCAGGGATAGCCAGTCATGGGAATGGTGGAGGTGATGGTGAAGGGGACAAAGTCTCTGTATGGCACCCCAGGGATACACCCTCCTTCTCATTCCTAGACTGTGATTTATATGAAATGGAATTTTGGACCATCCAAATAACCATGTCCGTGTAATGTATTGCATTCACAATGTATTTAGCACACCATTTAACAGAAAATTCGAAGCAGAAGTAACTAGCATGGTTCTTAATATCAAAATTGAAGCAAAATTAACCAAGATAATCATGTAGAAATGAAACTTTGAGACTTATCAAAAATCAGGCATCAACATCATTGTTCCAAAATCCCCCTTCAGCATGAGTCATTTCTGCTCTTTCCCAGGGAAAAAGCACCAAAATGCTCATGTCCTTGTGAAGTGTTTCACTTCTGACTGCCCAGACAGTGGGTCCCAGCACCCCAGAATTGCCTCCCCCCAACCCAAGTGTACCAAGGGAGAAGAAACCCAGGTCAGTACCACTGACGTGGCCAAAGTGCTTATTGCCCATGGCAAGTAATTGGATCAATAGTGGGGGTTTTCTGTGGTTTCAAGTATTCAACTTCCCTGAAGCACAATTTACTTCCACAATCTATTTGTGTAATAGGTTTTAATCATAACTTATAGGAGGCTGTAACACAGCAGGGGGTTGGTAATGCCTTGCAGTACCTGCAGCCCGCAGAGGGAGTTGGCAGCCGCAGGTCAATGGGTAGAGAGGGGTGGGCAGGAGGGTTTATCTGTGGTGCTACCTGCTGTTATCGTCCGGCCTTTCACAAGGGTTTATCAGCCACTGGCCCTTCCTTTTACAAACTGGGGGGGAATTTAACAACCTCGACAAGCAGAGGGGGCTGATGATGGGAGTGCTCCCATGGCACACGTTCCCCGCGGCAGAGCAGTGATGGCAACTTCAGGATGGGGGCTGGACCCCCAAGGACAAACCCATGGTGGAGGGTCCCATACCTTCCCCAGGGCAGGGGAAACTGAGGCACACGCAGCCACGCACCCCAGGAAAGGGGTGCAGAAGATGGATTGGGACCCCTTGGCTCCTCCAAGTCAGGGCTTCAGCTCCAGCTTCCTGGTGGGGGGGAAAGGACTTATCTGAACTTCTTCAACACTCAGAATATGTTTGCTTTGGCTCTGGGTTAATATGTATCGGTTTACTCATCTGATAGATCAGTGAGCAGAGCTGGCCCCAGACAAAAGACGTGACAGGTCTATTTTCTGCCTGTTTCAAAGCCTTCGGCCCCAGCAGCAGCACAAGGCTCCCCCTCGTTATCAGCAGCCGATTAAAGTGTCTGAAATTCAGGCTGATAATTTTGCATGCTCTTCCATCAGAAATCCTGCCTGGATTGGGATGGAGCCATGGGAGCTGTGCCTTTCCCAGCATCCCTACCCAAGCACATTGGAACTGCACTGCAGGGCAAGTTGGGGAGGAGGGAAGGGAGCTGCTGCCATCGAAGCCAGGTCCGAGCTGGACCTGGAGGGAAGGAGAAGTGTGTTGCTGGGAAGCCTTCCCGGAGCATCCTGCCCAGCTGTGCCCAATGGCAGAGCTGCCAAGTTCAAGCCAGGCTCTGCAGCCCAGCCGGCCCCTCCTGCTCCGGTCCCTGTCCCCATCATCCTCCCCTGATAACACAGGAACAATAGTGGCAGCAGCAAACTCAGGGCCAGGGCTTAGCACAGCCGAGCAGGTAAAACAGGGGAGGGACAAAGACAAACACAGCAAAAAGGGCTCCTCCAGGCCCAAGGCCAGGGCCCTTTCAGGGATTAAGTCCCCTTGTGCCAGGATGAAGCAAGTGTTTACTTGAAGCTGTCACTATAAATCCCAGCAGCCCCATTTGCAAGGGTTTGTGTCCACCCCATGGGGCTGGGAAGGGGGTCTCTCCCTTCCCTTGCTCCCCATCTGTTCTGGGGTGCCAGCAGCATCACTGCCCAGCCCCAGCAGGACCCCTGGGAGGGGAAGAGGACCGGTTTTACACCTACACTGGGACCAGTAGGAGCTAGAGGGAGCCCAGGGAGCAGGACCCCACACAGAAGGACCCACTGTCCCCCCCAGCTGCTGGCCATGGCTGCAGTGACCACCCTGCCTACCCGCTCGCTTGTAGGTGAGATGGGAGCAAGGAGTTCCATCCATCACGTAGCCTGGTGGCTCCAGCCCTGGCTCACACACCGAGGGACTGAGCATCCCTTTTCCTCATGTGCCAGCAGCCAGCACCAACTGGGCTCAGGCTGCACCACACAGCATCACCTCCAACCCCGCTCTGCAGCCTCCACCCGCTCCTTGGCCCCCACCAAGACACAGTCTGGCTTTTCTTCCTCCCCCCGCTCTCTCTTGGCAGATAGCTCTCTGACGTCTTGTAAACCAAAAGCAGGTTGATTTGAATTTTCCATGGATGGCTCAGAGGCACGGATAATTCGTTATTCACACCTCCCTAATTAAACCACTGCCCAGCAGGCTAGGCAAGGCTGAAACCAGCCAAACGTCCCCTGCCCAGTGCAGGTCAGCAAGGTCCAATGCGGCTTGAGTTTTGGCTGTGGGGTCACTTACTCTTTGCTACATGGAGGACACAGAGCTGCTTTGATAAGTGGTGTCCTGGAGGTGGGAGGTTTGAGAGCAGTGCAGAGGGGAGGGCACCCCTTTGGGGAGGGCTTTACCAAACAGGGAACCCAACCCAAATCCCCACCAAAGCCTTTCTGCTCCTGGGGAAGGGCTGCACATGGCTCTGGTCCCACAGCAGTGACCTGAGCTCACTGAAGCTCACAGCCAGCTTGTCAGGGTTCGTACTTGCTGCTGGTGCTGAGGCTCGCCTTCTAATTCCCACCGAAGTTAGGCTCACCGATACTATTTCACTGTTTAATTCCAGCTAGCTGTAAAAATAGAGGACCGCTGCAGACGGAGGGATTGATGTAGGGCAGGGAGCGATGGGTGGGCTGCCGCAGCCTGGGGTGTGTGCCCCTCACCCAGACCGGGATGCGGTGCCGAGTGAGGCAGCTCCAGGTAGGGAAAGGCGAGCTGGATTGGCACATTCTGCCCTCCTGCTCCCCAGAGCATCCCCCTGTGTGCGGGGGACTCCGTGCAGGGAGCTGGGCTGAGGGCGCGCGTTCCCAGTGCCGCTGATGAGAACTCCAAATGCAGGCGGTGGCTGCTCCGCAGGCAGCTCCGCGCCGCCGAGGCAGGCAGGGCCATTTTAATCACTTCCAGATTCGTGTGGGAGGTCAGGGCCCTGGGGTGCTGCTCCATGTCAGTTTTATAAACACGGCAGTTTTTCCAGATGGTCTCTGGCTCCAGCCTGGCTAGCAGGTTGATTGGGCCAGACCAAAATAACAACAGGTGGAGAACAGCCCATGCTGCTGCCGCTATCGCCTGTTTCCATCTCGGCCCAAAATGATTTTGTAATTTTTTAGGGTTTTTTTGGTTTGTTTTGTTTTTTTCCCCTTGCAGAAAACAATTCAGTTCTGCCGGGGCTGCGGTGGAGGCCACACGCCTTCACTGCACGTGTGAGAGCAGCATCCCGCCCGGCACACCTCTAGCCAGGACAGGGCTGGGACAGGGCTCATTGCTGTGCTCCCAACCGCTCCGCAGCTCCAGAGCTGCATTTCTTAGCCAGAGGATTTCTTACCACCCTCCGGAGGGGTGGCTGATTCAGCAGATCAATTGCACACCAGCAGCTCTTTCATGTGTGTCGTGTTCCCCCCCCCCCCCCCATTTATTCTGTTCTCTTATCTTTTCCATTAAATCCCAAGGAAATCCAGTGCCAAACCGGCAGTGTGGAAGCATGCTGCCTGCACCCCACATTTCCAGGGCCAAGAGGGAGCCCAGCATCCCAGGGTGCTACTTGGGTGGCCGGGATCAAGCAGATGATGGATCTGATGCTTCCTCGACACGGAGCCAGCGTACCAGGACCGCTCAGATCCAGGCCAGCTCCGTCCCCACCAGCCACGAAACACAGCAGCAGTCCCAAATGGATGCCCAGCGCCTGGGGGCTGAAAAACCAGCACAGATCCCAGTTTTACCCTCACACAAACCATGGCTCCTGTCCCTCTTGCACTGCAAACCCCCATGAGCTAGTGGAATGCCAACAGGAGCACGGCTCAGTGTCAGTACAGTGCCATCGGCTCATCCCAACCGCAGGCAGCACTCGGTGCAGCCCAGGCAGGGCTTGTGGTGCAGAGATGTCTCGGAGCAGAAACCCAGAGGGATGGAAAACCCACAGTTGTGTACTGCAGGCAAACTGAGCTGCTCTCCACATAGAGAGCCCTTTCATATTTCCCACTCGCCTTCGAGTTGACATCTCTCCACAGGCCAAATCTTCCCATGGAGGAGATGAAGTTCTGGCCAGAGATTATAAACTGATTGTGGGCGTAAATGAGAAAATTGCATATGTAGCGCTGCTGCAAGCCAAGCGCAGCACATGTGCCTCCTGCATCTGCTCGCTGTGAGCAGCTCGCCCCACGCACGCCTGCATCCGTGCACGTGCAGGGGGACTGAGCTGAGCACAAACAGTACAAGGAGGGGAAAGAGGAAGGTTTCCAAAGGCCCTACTCACAGGGAGGTTTCCAAGGACCAAGTGGAGGTGGCCCATTATCCGCTCTGTCCCCGTGGTGCCGCCCCTCCCTCTCCACCTCCAGCATCCCAGATCCTCAGCAGCATCCCCCTCTCACTTCATAGCAGCAATCTGGCACCACGCATCTTTATTTCCTAAACTTGGGCCAAAGCTCAATGAGCCCAGCCCCGCTGCTGTTCACACAGCGAACACTGACACCTTTCTTCAGCCTGCCTTGATTTCTTCCATAGGAAACAGCCTGCTCTTGCTCCTGCACACTGCCTCGCGGAGAATTGCACATCCCCCACTGCTAATTACACAAACCCAAAGTAAATCTGTATGAATTGCTCGCCCTGGTGCAGTTTAGCATTTAAGACCAATTTATTTTGTGGCCGTTAATGGAGAAGAGGATTCATCCCATAAGCAACACAAAGCACTGGCAGGCGAAGGGCCCCGGCACCAAACCCAGGCGGGTGGGGGAATGTAGCTGGGTTGTGCTGGATTTTTGGCCACTGTGATGTGCTCGAGGTGGGGGGATCCTTGTGCAGGGATCAGCAGTCAGGTTTAGTGTGCATGGCAATGGATGTGCACCCAGCAGAGGTGGGGGAACAGGCAGCAGAGCAGCAGCACATTCCCAGCCCCTCAGCCCACATCATCCGCTCTGGCAAGAAAGTGGGGGGTTAGAAATGCCTGACCCTGTTCCCATCACCTCCTAAAATGGAATTTCCCAGCGCTGGCAGTGGATCTGGACAGCTTTACTCCTGCAGGCAGGTAGGCAGCGAGTCTGGAAACCCTCTGCGGTGTGGGAACAGTGGCAGCAGCGCGGGGCTCGCTGCCCTGGCCCATTGTTTAGGAGTCCCATTTCTGCCATGTCTAAATACGCCCTGATCCTACAAACACTTCCCCTCAGGAGAAGGAACAGGCCTTTCACTGGTTCTCCTCTGCACGCACCTGAAACCTTGGGATAGAAGGGAATGACTTGGCTGTGGTACAGCGCCTTTTCCCCTTGCATCTTATCACCTTCTCCATAGCTTGAAAGTGTTATTGGCCCCATTTGCAGGTGGAAAAGCAGAGTTATGTTTCAGCGACAGAGGAAACCTGGTTTTAGCGCTTCCGAAGCTCTGCCACTGCATGGTGCAAAGTGCTGATCCAGTGCAAACATTAAATTCATTAAATCCCATTGAAGCCTTGGTATTGAAAATGTTTTGACAGGTTAATTGTGTCCAGCCGGCTCTTTGCCAGCTGATATCTCATCCTCCTGTGCCACAGCTCTTGCCTGGCCTTCACTGAAGGTGACAAAACCCCTGTAACAGCAGTGGGACCAGCCCAATACGTGTCTCTGCAGCCCAGGAGAGCATGAGCTATAACATATACGTGTATGCTTGGTCCATACCTCTGCAGCACGCAGTGTTTGCCCCAGCCTTCAGGACAATTTCTTCTCCTATTGGCACTAATAACCTTCTGGATGCTAACACTGAGAAAGCGCTCTGGCAAATGCTGTATTTTCAGGCATGAGGGAGTTGTTCATATAAAATCATTGAGTTTCTTTGGAGGATTTGGGAGTCCAATAAATCAAGTAGCCAGGCAGGCTTCGGCCAGCACTACAGGAGTTATAATCGGAAGCGACACCCTATAGATCTTTCTCCAGAACAGTGTTGGGTGGAAATTGCATCACTTGGGAAAAAGAAATGGATGGGGGTGGAGGAGAGGAAAAAAAGTGTATTTGAATGGAGTCATTGGATAAAGAAGGACCTTGAAGCCACAGGAAGCCAGCAGCAGCTTGGGCATCTTCAGCTGCAGCAGTTTTGCTGCCTGACAGTGCTGCTCCTATGGTTTGGCATGGCGACAGGGACTGAAGACCACTGAGCAGCACTGCTGTGTCCTGGCCCAGAATTGGGCACATGAAGTTAATTTTCATGCCTTCAGGAGCACTCCTGCCTGCGCCCTGTGCTTTCAGAGACATGCTCCAGGAGAGCAGTGTCTTTAACTTGGGAGTTTCTGGACAGTCTCTCTCCCTGGCATCCACCTTTTATTACAGCCTCTGAAGGCAGCGTGTTTCTATAATCAGTGCAGTAAGGCTGCGCACAGGCGTACTTGGGGATGGAAATGGGCTCAAACACCAACAGACACATTTGGAAGTGCCAGGGTGGAAAAATGTCTCCGGGCTCCACGTGACTGTCTTGCTGCAGAGCACGGGAGTGCTGATGAACAGAGCATGTTCACACACATACATACATGTTACATGCATGCTGCCCACCTGGTTGCATTAACAACACACACGTGCTGGTGCTTCTGCATTTGAAACAGAGCTCTGTGCTTGTGTGTGTACACACACACAAATGTATAGATGCATCTCCCGCACATTGGGAAGGAAACAAAGGCTGGGATCCCTGTGGATGAAAGGGGAGGCAGAGGAAGGGCAGGAGCAGCCCACACACCGAGTTGCCCGTGCGCTGCCCGCGTTCCCAGGCTGCTTCCAGAGGCACGGGCGAGCGTGCTGTATTGCCTGCACCTGGCTGCTATTAAGCATTCAATCAAAAAGGGATCACAAGGCAGATACAGCTAATTCGAAGGAACCTTTTCACACAAGCAGCCCCTTTCAGTCTGCTCGGCTGGGTTTAGATCTGGAGCTAACTCGGGCAGGCTTGAAAATGAGCAGGGCTCTTGGCGGCCGCGGGTAGCGGGAGGGACGCGCCACGTTGCCAGCAGACGGAGGTGGGAGTTCTCCTTTGGTGTTTTAAAAATAGCACTACAAAGAGAGCAGGGCTGGGATGCTGCGGTGCTGGGAGGAGGGGATGCAGCAGGGCCAGCGCTGGGGACAAGCCAGGCCCTGCAGGGCTGGAGGTGTCCCCCAGGTCCTTTGCGTTTGTCTTTAACTGCAGTGGGGATCTGGGGCTGCTCGGATTGCCCCAGGGTGGTGAAGAAGAGATGTGCTGTTGTGTGAGGCGGTGCCCTCAGCAAAGCTCGCCTGTGACCTGCTCTTGGACCATCCCCAGTATTGCATCCACAAAGGGCAGACCATGATGTGGGTCTTAGCACCAGGTGCTTGTGGAGGAAGGTCTCCCAGCCCTTGCAAAGTGGGTGGTGGGCTACATGAGCATCACAGGAGGTTGCCAAACACTCCCCATGCTGAGCCATTGCAAAGCAGGAGTCCCAGAGGATACCTGGGGACAAGGGTCTGGCCCCCAGCAGCCCTGCACCAGCCCTGAGTCCCCAGCAAACAGCGGGCAGGTGGCAGAACTGTTCCCAAACGTTTCCCATCTGATGGCTTTGACCACATTTCAACAAGGAGCTCAAAGTGCCATCAGTCATTTCTGACACTTCCTTCCCCTATGGCTAAAGAGCCATCTTCTTATTTTTTATTAGCTATGAAATACCCACATTAAAAAGCTCCTCCTCATCCACCTTCACAGAAGCCCAGTGGCAAACACTGTCGGCTCCTCCGCAGCATCCTCTGAATCCCTGTCCTGAGGGCAGCTCCTTTTCTGAAATGCCAGAAATGAAGGGAATGACAATAACAATCACACTTGTCCTGTGGCTGCTGCCTGCAAGGGCTCCAGAGGGGCAAGTGCCTTAACCCCTGCATGCCTTCACTGAGGTCCCCACAGCCCACCTCCAGCTCCACTCAGCACTGGGGACATGTCACAGCTAGCGTGTTCTAGTCACCTACCCTGTGGTTGCGCTGCTCTGGAAGTGGCCGAGCCATTCCCTCAATCCCATACCAGCTTCAGTGCGTGTGTGTCCAGGGATTTACGCAAGCAGCAGCAAACCAAAGGCTTCCCGCAGCTCGGAGGCTTCCCGTTCCACCGGCCCCCAGGAATCCCATCCAATACGTGCTTATAGGGACCATACGCAAGGCATTCCCGAAGGCGCCCTTCCACACATGGGCATGCTCGGATGTCGGCTGGGACACGCTGGCTTTTAGGGGAAGGCTCCAAGAGGTTTTAATTTAATGCTGGCGCTTACCCTGGGAAGAATTTCCCAAGTAGGTGGAAATTCATGATCACATCAACACGGGGAGAAAGGAGGAGTGGGGAAGGCATCGCCTTTGGCAGTGTTATTCCTCCTTTTGGGAATGGCTTTGGGTGTTTATTCCCCAGACACTGATACTCCTCTTTCCTGGGAATTCCAGCTGTGTTAAAAACTTGGCCAGCCTTTGCATGTTATTTACACTGGCTTTTGGGTTCCCATGCCTGGCTCCTGTGGTCAGGGGACCCGAAGGACTGCAGGGGCTGTTCAGGCTGGGCTCAGCCCAGGGTGGGAGGGAGCTCACTGTCCAGCCGGTTTGTTTCCACTCAGGATCACACTCATGGCCGGTCCCGGTGGCTCATCCTCCCTTTGCCAGAGGAATCACTGTGGCCAGTGGCTGAGGGACCCCTCATCCCCACTGGACCCCTTATTCAGTGGCCTCAGGGGGAAAGGGGCTTCCCAGCTCCTTGGGATGATGCCGGCAGCATCCCTCTCGCTGGCCCCAGTCTCTGATGGAAGGAATTAAGGAATGGATTTGGCTGGGAACAGCCCCCAGGTTGCTCTCACAGGGAAAGGCAGATGTAAAGCTTTGTCCTAGGAAGGACATTAAAGACCTTGCCCTGGAGAAGCACCACAGCGTTGGGTTGTGGCCAATGTGACTAAGCCTCGTCTTCCTCTCTCCTCACCCCTCTGTCTGGGATGTCAGGCCTTTTTAAAAGCACCTTCAGTTTTGCAATGCTTTTGCTCAGAGCCCCATTACTCAGGCTGAGCTGGCCCTGCTTCCTGGAGGAGCACTGCAGCCCTGCCTGATAAGATAAGCTCCCCAAAGAAAGGTTTTGGGACCCTGACTCACTGGAGAAACTGCAGGGCATTGGTGCAGCCTCTGACACACTTAACTGTTTGATGGGCTTATCACCGAAATTCTGATGTTCATCTGTGTCCACTGGAGGACACAGCCCTTATCCAGGAGCAAGGTCACCCCAATCAGGTGTGAAGCGTGGAGGCTCTCCCTATCTGCACGCCTCCAGCCTCGGTACATATTCACAGCCCTTTCTCAGTCCTGTCCCTAAATCCTCCTGTCCAGGTCTCCCACAGGGACTCCCCCAGTACCACTGGTGCTGGAGTGTTCACCTTGAGCTCTGGTGTAGGGTTAAAGCCACGCTGGCAGGAACCCTGTGCCCATTGCTACCTCCCAACCCTCCCCAGGCACTGCTGAGTGTATCCATGGCCAGCAGCCATGGGGCTGCAGTCGGGGCAGGTCCAGGCTGCGATTCCCAATTACAGGCAGGATCTGGCCCCAGGTTGTCGCTCGTGCTGCTTCTGGCAGCCCACATCTGGCTTTGCCACCAGGCAATAAATCCCCATAGAGAAGCAGCTTTAAGGACTTGATCC